GGATTTTACCGGAATACCGGGAGGGTTACCGGAACCCCCCGGGAGCTATTTGGGCCATAGTGGGCCTTAGTGGAAAAGAGAAGGGGCTGCCCTAGATGGGCTGCGCCCCCCCTTCCCCTAGTCCTATTAGGACTAGGAGAGGTGGCCGGCCCCCTCCTCCTCTTTTCCCCTCCGAGGAATCCTAGTTGGACTAGGATTGGAGGGGGAATCCTACTCCCAGAGGGAGTAGGACTCTCCTGCGCCTCCCCCCCTTGGCCGGCCAGCCTCCTCTCCTCCTTTATATACGGAGGCAGGGGCACCTCTAAACACACAAGTTGACACAAGTTGATCCACGTGATCTGTTCCTTAGCCGTGTGCGGTGCCCCCTGCCACCATATTCCTCGATAATACTGTAGCGGAGTTTAGGCGAAGCCCTGCTGCTGTAGTTCATCAAGATCGTCACCACGCCGTCGTGCTGACGGAACTCTTCCCCAACACTTTGCTGGATCGGAGTCCGGGGATCGTCATCGAGCTGAACGTGTGCTCGAACTCGGAGGTGCCGTAGTTTCGGTGCTTGATCGGTTGGATCGTGAAGACGTACGACTACTTCCTCTATGTCGTGTCATCGCTTCCGCAGTCGGTCTGCGTAGGGTACGTAGACAATACTCTCCCCCTCGTTGCTATGCATCACATGATCTTGCGTGTGCGTAGGAATTTTTTTGAAATTACTACGAAACCCAACAAGTGCTTCGGGTGGTGAGCCGTGACACACAGCTGGCTCACCGGGACGGCAAGCTGCGCCTCCAGCGCGCGGCCTACCGCCATGGGGGACGTGGCGTTGACGTCGTCCGTCGCTGTCATGGTAATGGCATGGTTGCGCAGGAAGAAAATGGCCTGCTCGGTCGCCTGGGAAGACATGGTCAGCGAGTGGCTCTCTCTGCGGCGGCGGGAGGGGTCGATGTGGCGCTGGATGGCCGGGGTGGTGGTGGGCATGGTGGATGCAGCAGGCGGCGGGAAACAGAGGCGTGAGTGGATTGGCGCCGGAGGAGCGTCTTGCCGAGGCCGGGGGCGCTGATTTTGCGCGCACTGCTTTTCTATGTGGCCCGGCAGTTCGCAGAGGATGCAGTGGATGGGATCATGGCAGTCGGCGCGGCGGTGTTTCTTGCTGAGGCAGCGGAAGCAGCAGCCGCGGAATCGGCTTAAGAAGGCCGTGCGGGCGGCGTCCGCATTGAAGCCACTGCGTCGGTCCGGCCGCTGCACCCCGGGGCGCGCCCTGTAGCCCGGCGGGCAGGAGGCAGGGCGTTTCTTCTTCTGGTGGCTGACCTCGGTCCACCCACCGCCCATCCCCGGAAGGGAAATCTTGGCAGCTGGTGGAGATGGGGCGACGATGATGGATTTAAGGCGCTGCGTAGGGGGCGGCGGTAGCTCGGCCTCGCTTGAAGGCATCGCGGCCAGCGGCAGCGAGGATTATTGCTGGATCTGCGGCCGGTCGGCCGGATCTGGGGAAACCTCGGGCTGTGATTCAGGCACCTCAGACGGACCAGGGGAAACAGGGATATCCCGCGTTGGTGGATCCGGTCCGGAGCGTGCGCTTGCAGCTGGCGAAGGCGGGGGAGGCGTCACCATTAAGGCAGGTGGGTGGCCGCCGCGGCCGGAGCGGCCAGCGGCGCGGGGGGAGGGGGAGGCTCGAGGGAGACGGGAACCCTCCACTCCACAGTTCGAGTTCATTGCGTGCAGTGATGCAGTCGCAGACAACTGAGGAAATGTGCCTTTGCTCTCAAGAAACATAAGAGCAATTTTAATGGGCCGACCCAAACGGACGACTCTTTTGTCTGTTTTTTATCTGTTTAGATTGGCCGTCTGTCCGGCGTCCGTCCTGTTTTAGATTTAGGTCGGTAGTGCGTCCAACGCGCTGACCCATTTCATGCTCGGACTCAATTTTTAAAAAGGCCCGCAGCCATAGATCATGTCAGCGGTCATGTCTCATGCCGGCACTTTGTCAGTGCCGGCTTCAAAAAATATCACCAGGCAGTTCATGCTGGCGCACTCGCTAGCGGTCAGCACACAAAAAAGAGGTGAGACTTGAGTTCGACCACGCCATCGTGGCCCCGTGGTCATGCCAGCACACCTGCCGGCATAAAAAAAGAATGGCGCTCGCCGCCATAGATCACTCGTCGTCAAATTTGAGCATGTCGATCTGCATCTTCTCAAACCACGGCCTCTTCCTTGGCGACACGGTGTTGAGATCCACCTTAATGATCTCCACCCCAGTCATCATGCTCGCGAGAGCCACTTCTTTCGCATTGGTCTTGGCGTTGGCTGCCTCGATCTCAAGCATCTTGGCTTGCTTCTCCGCCTCCATCTCAAGCATCTTGGCTTACTTCTTCGCGTCCATCTCAAGCCTCCTTTGGATCTCCATGAAGGCGTTCATTTGTTCTTTTTTGTAACGCCAGCGCTCCTCCCTTGAGTCATTGTTGCTCATCATGCCCTCCACGATAGCGATCAAGGCATTGGACGTCGCATCTCGCTTGTCCTCCTTGGAGTTGGTATTCCCTCGTGGTCGTGCCTTCTCACCGTCCCCAACCTCCTCCACGGCTTGCTTCCCCCCACCCGACTTGAGGGCGGCATATTGCGCCTTGAACTTCTCCTCGTCTTTGATCACGCTAAAGCAATGGGAGAGGTTGAAGCACTTGCCATTGTGTTGGACCTTGAATGCCTCCAAAGCTTGAAATGCCTACAAATATTTTCATGTAAGCATATTGGCAAATAGTATGCAAATGAACACGCAAGCATAAACATGATGACACAAAAGAGGACGGCTTGCTAGCATACCATGTCTTGCATGTCGATGCCGCTCACACAACGGGCCTTGACGCTCTCACGAGTGGCACAAAACTTGTTGCACTCTTGTTGGATCACCCTCCATCGCTTCGAAATGGACACCCACCCGCGCGTGCTTACTATTTGGTACGGCGGGAACTTCTTGCGCTCATGGAACTCATGGTGGACACGAATCCAAAAAGTTGAATGTTTTTGTTCAGCGCCCGTCTTGGGGTCTTGCCCAATGTCTCTCCAACACTTGCAAAGAAGCATGTCCTCGGCCGCCGTGTATGCTTTGGTCCGCTTGCTCTTGCGCTTCGGCTTCACCCCAGCGGCTTGGTTGGCAAGCTCGTCCTCGAACAAAGGCTCCCCTTCGATGTTGCACTTGTCCTCTTCCTCTTGCCCGTCGTCCTCTGAAAACTCGTGGTCGAGTGGGAAGCCGTCCAGGTCGATGCTGGCCTGATCACGCATGAAGGCCGCCTGGTCTTGATCGTAGCCAGCGGACGGCGTGAACGCCCCTCGGCCGTCCTGGCTTTGTGTCTCGTTGGGATCGTAGCCAGCGGCCGACGCACCGCCCTCGAAGATCATGTTCTGCATGTAGTCCTCGTCGGCGGCGGCCGGCATTGCGTCGAACAGGTTGCGTGCACCCGGCAGTACATCGGCTGGCATCTGCCGCGCACGTTTCCTCGCGCCTCCGGATGACGAGCCACCGGTGTGGCGTTGAGGTCGATGGGGGCGGGCGTGGGCGTGGAAGGCGCCACCACGCTCACCTCGGGCGAGCACTCTCCGGAGTGGCGGCAGGCCTGCGGATAGACGTGGAAGCCGGTGCTGGCAGCGGCCACGGCGGCGTGGAGGAAGCCGTGCTGGCTAGGGTTTAACCCTAGCATATAGAGCACCTCACTCGTTGCCGCCGCGACGCAGGCGTTTGGTGACCTCTTGCTGCGCAGCGGCACCGACGGTGGCTACCGCGATGGCTTCATCCCTTGCGGCCGCCACGTGCCTCCGACCCTTCCTCTTGGCGACTCCCTTGCCCGTTGTTCGGGCGTCGACGCCTTCTTCGACTTGGGCGCGGCGGCGGTCTTGCGGGGGGCGTGAGGCTAGCCTTTGCCGGAGGGGGCGGTCGTCATGCCGGACAAGGCGAGGGAGGCGAGGCTGGCGGCGGCTTCGAGGCCGTCTTCCATGGCGGGGGTGGGGCGGAAGCGCGCGGGGGTGAGAGGTTTTTTTTGAGAAAATGGAGGAAAATGATAGAGGCTACCACCGACCAGCGGGCCCGGAGAAAGGAGAAGGCGCACGCACGCATTCATCTCGTGTCCGCGCCGACGCAAATCCGATTCAAAAAGAACCAGAAATAGGTCGGCAGGCGGCCACCAAGCAGACACACGTCCATTTGGGTCAATGTGTTGGGCCGACTTTTGTGTCCACACCGACCGAAACGAACGACGTTGGAGTTGCTCTAAGGGCAGCGCGTACAATATTGACCAACTAAAGAATTTGTAAACCGGAAGCCGCCTTCACCTGTTTGGGGGAGACAAAGCTTCCAACAAAAAAAATAAGCTTCTCTACGAGGTTAATTTGTTGAAAACAGGTGTAGCTCTCAACATAAAAGTGTAGGGAAAGTAAAATAAAAATACTCAAATGATAAGTGCCACACGTATATTACAAAACACTCTGGCTGGCATTTTCATCCGGAAAAAGAGTTGACATGCTTGACAACTAAAATTGTTATACTCACATCACTAAACTTGTCATAAAAAACCGTTCAGAATTGCCATGTGTTCATTCCACATGTGGCACTTATCAGGATCCTAAGAATATACTTTACTTCAGATGAACAGAAGAACTGATAATCTGTACTTGTCCCCAACAAATATAACAAACCGCATTATTTTTGTGATGACACGAAACAAACAAATGTTGTATGCTCATTCGCTTGATTTCTCATGATAAATAGCGTTGCTGGTTCTCAACAGAGACGGTCGAACTAACTGCAAGAGCCTTCAACCTTTCGAGTCCACATAGGACAGCTACAACTAACTGACTTCACCAGATCTAGAACTTAAGATGCCAATTTATCCTCAAACTCAAACCAAACCAACAGCACAGCATATGAAACCATCACCCACTTATTAAAGTATCCTATACTTCATTTATTCAATTATTACGGTTATGTTTCACCCAGGGAGCATCAAACAAGCGAGTGCTCAGGCTTTGGGCAGTCCGTTCTCTGCTCTTGTCACGGAAGCACGTGGAGGCCATGGCGCGCCAGCCATTACCGCTTCGATTTCCCAGGTCTCCCGGGGGCAGTTTGTCAGGTTCTTGCATCCTTGTGCCGTCACATACTGCAGCAATGAATATCTTGTTAGCATGTACTCCCTCCGTTCCAATTTACTCGTCGTGATTTTAGTTCAAATTATGGAATATCTTGTTAGCATGTACTCACTCCGTTCCAATTTACTCGTCGTGGTTTTAGTTCAAATTTGAACTAAAAGCACGACGAGTAATTTGGAACGGAGGGAGTAAATAACAAGGCTAGCACTATGTAAAGGCCAATGCAATGTGGATGCTACAGAAATTTCTGTTGAGTTCTTGACACGTCAAGAGAAACTCTGTGCACTGGTGATAACCAAATGTCTCTTTACTCTGCAATCTGGCAGTATCTTTTTTTCCTTTTATACTGCCATCCACATCTACATGCTAAAATTTCTGGACCTTGTTACCAGCGAAAGCACGTAACCATGACCGAAGTATAAAACCTCACTACCATGGTAACGGTTGGTTCTTTGTGAGCATGCCAGCATGCTGAAGTGTGAATGCTGAACACGGAACATTAGTCCACATTTTAGCCCAACAAAATTTAGCACTTCAAAAAATTATTCAAGATTCAGAGCTAAATTGTTCCAATCTCTGTACTTCAGTAACCGAACTCGGAAGTGTGCCCTAACTGAACTTTGACTCTTATGGGGACAAGACATTTTTATCATCTCCATTGTAGCACATACATTAAAGTCTATGCAAGATCACTTGCGACATTGAGAGGTCTATCAACGTATGCCAACCAATTTCTGTTTTCTTGTAGTGCTCCCCTCTGTCCTACTCCCTCCGTTCCTAAATATAAGTCTTTGTAGAGATTTCACTATGGACCACATACGGATGTATGTAGATGCATTCTAGAGTGTAGATTCATTCATTTTGCTCTGTGTGTAGTCCGTAGTGGAATCTCTACAAAGACTTATATTTAGGAACGGAGGGAGTATAATATAGTGCACACTTGGTTTTCGTGAAAGTCAACCTTCACAAACTTTGACCAACTTTATTTAGAAAATTATGTATGTCTACAATACCAAATATATACCATATGAAAATATATTCCATCATGAATCAATTGTACCTATTTGGTATTCCAGATGTTGACAATGTTTTCTACAAACTTGGTCAAAGTTTACAAGGTTTGACTATGGAAAAATCTAATAAGCGCTATACTTTGGGACGGAGGGAGTATAACTTTTCCAAGAGAGATCAGTAATAGAGCAAATGTGTTGGCATTACTTCGTACCTACAAGTAGCGGACTAGCGGTGCACCAGCAATTAAGAGAGTTAAGTTGTTTTACTATGTAACGGAGGAGAGCAACCAAGCAAGACATACCAGATCACTTTCAATACGAACACCACCAAAACTTTTGTACTTCTCAATCTCTTCCCAGTTGAAGAATTTTGAGGAAACTGGATCATCCCTGGCAGGCCGCAGCAAAGCATCGATGAAATAACAGCCTGGCTCAACCGTAATAACCTGCAGTTCAAAAACCATGTGAGCTCAGATGCTTGTTATAACTATATGTAAGATGCCCACACACCCTTCTCAACATGGATGCAGAAAATACAGTACTATTCAGAGGATTCACGACCATTTATTGTTCAAATTATCTATGTTGTCCTTCATTTCTTATCCTCGCTCTCAGATAGCATATGCTAAAATAGGAGAAGATATACATCGATATATATGTCGGAGAACTTTAGATGTTTCCATGCTCTTCTGCATGATATATTTAAGTTTGTCATCTTCAAAATATCCATTATGATTACTATACCACAACAAGTCTCAAGGCCTTGATGTCTAACTGCCTACACAAAGCAGCTTGTGTATGAAGAACTGATAACAGAAAAGGTATTAACTTTCAGAAGTTGTGGGGACCCTATGCATGATGTTGTACAGTTAAAGCATAACCACAATACCAGGCAAATGTGACATATTGTGGTTACGTGTGCTACTAAATGGTCAATAGTCTGTCCGAAAGAATACGCATTAACAGAGTTCCAAACAGCTCATAAATTTTACTGTCATCTTGTTTGAATACCCAAATGGTCAATAGTCTGTTCGAAAGAATACACATTAAGAGAGTGCCAAACAGCTCATAAATTTTACTGGCTAACACGACAACCTAGCCACTTCTCAGAAAAGTGCGCGTGAAATTGTAAGAGTATTTTGTGCTACTAAATCTTCATAAATTAATGAGAAAGGTAATTACTTACCATGCCTTCTTTAAGTTCTCTTATGGTCCGCAAGGAGCTCAGTCCTGGCTCCTTTGGCCTCTCTAAGCCCTAAAGTCAAAAAACAAGCATTAAGCTCGGTTGCAGGGAGGTAGGTATAAAGATTAAACTTGCATAAACATCGGTAAAATCCATATCTCAACCTCAGGGTAGCCTCCGGGATCATGGGTGTCAATTCCAAGCAAGTGCCCAAGACCATGAGGCATGAAAACAGCACCCAACCTTCGAGTCATCATATCAGCAATATCACTGAAATAATTGTATTCCGGGGAATAGAGAAGTCAGCATTGTAGCTTTACATATTATCATATTTAAGTTCTATGAGCAGCTCTCACACACGCACCCATGGATAATCTTTTCATTCTTGAGAGATTCAAGTATTGTCTGCTCGGCCAGCCTGCAAAAAAGATCAGATGGCGCGTCAAAAGATGCTGCAAAATCTAACACAGAGGCCAACAGTAAACATTCTTGGATAACGCCATCAAGGATGTTTAGAAATTGCATGGTTCTGTAAGTAACAATCATTCTTACTTGTGCATATCAACCCATTTTACTCCAGGCTGCATGTGTGATATGACAGCATTATGAGCCTTAAGGACAGACTGTAAAATAGTCAGTGTTGCATCAATAAAGATTCAAACAACCTGTCCAGGTTCTAATTCACATACAGGAAGAAAAGCACTTTCTCACAAGTACTTACATTGTATACTGTTGCCTGGTTGCTGTTGAACTTCCCATTTATCTGAAAAGACAAAAACTCATTCAGGTGATGTTACTAGACAAACAGTATATTAAGATGTGATGAACCGAAGAATGCTCCAGCTTGCATCGAGGTTTGTTGGAAAGTAAACTTCTAGAATTATAAGCTATGGCCCAAAGTCAGCTAAATACTTAGTAAATCATAACTAATCGTAACAGAGAATTGGGCTGAAGTGAAAAGGAAAGGATATCTGAGGGTGCTCAGATTAAGATATAAACATTCAATAAATAATAACCGCTGGTAGCAATGATGTTCATAAGCAGTTCATTGCACATAATAAGCATAGCCCTTGACACTTTTAACAGTAGATAACAAAAGCAAGTCCATTTAGTAAAGACACTGGAAAACAAAAATAGTGTACCAAATTAGATAGATGAATGTTACGAAGGACTTACGGGGTATGAACATGTGATGTCAGAGCCATAGAAATTATATTCAGCTCCCATGTCCATTAGAGCCATGTCTCCATCATTCAGCGTCTGAAAATATATGAGATGATCATCTACCAAAGAGGAAAAGAAAAACTAAGAGGAGACAAAATACAAAATTTCCCCTAAAATAAGAACGCCCCATATTACATCAAGACCCTTGTAGCTATGATTACTTTGTTGGATTTCTATCGTTGTATATAAATATCTGTGTTGGTGCTATCACTCGCAACGTGTAAGCTGGATACATTATGATGCTGGGCCTATTCAACTAGACAATTTTTATTCAAAATTGTCTAACTCGTCACCAGGGTCATTACCACCAATGTTCACATGTATCTGATGACGAGAACTTATTTTCGGCTATATCATAAATGAAAGGTACTCCCTCCGTTCCAAATTACTCGTCGCAGAAATGGGTGTATCTAGAACTAAAATACATCTAGATACATCCATACCTGCGACAAGTAATTCGGAACGGAGGGAGTAGCACACAACAGACACCATTCAGTTTACAAATTATCATAGGTAGATTTCAAGACCTCGTGGTACTGATAAATGTAGTTGACAAATAACAAGGTAGATGAACTCTACAGCCTGAACTCCATATAGTCGTCACTGAAGAAGGCTTTCCACTTTGATAATGCTCACAGAGCAGTGGCTTGGGAAGCATCAAATGCTCCCATATTCAACGGGCAGAGGCCTAGCATCACCACGCTGCTCGACACCATCCAAGCAGAGACGTGGTTGTGGGCTACGGCAATAGCAACCAGCCTTCAAGTGTTACTCCCAGCGGAGCTGAGCTGGGGGCCAGGTTCAAACCATAGCGGTCACAGGACACCGGGTCCAAGATATTTTCCTTGCTACATTTCATGTATAGTATACTGTGTCTGTGTGACACCCCATTTTCAGGTGAGAAATAGAACTGATTTACAAGACATAGAATCATTTTATCAGTGGGTCCACCCTAGGCCGAGCACTCAGGGGTGTGGCATGTGTTGTTGTACTTGGCCTATCCGTAGGCTTATAAATAACTTTATCTATCTAGCATCAAAATACAAGGCTTTGCGTTTTCTCGAGGAATTTTTTTTATAAAGCATGCCCATTTTCAAGTCATCAGGAGTATGAAATTCATTTAAAAGAGACCTGAGCTCTGCGGACAACATAATCTCAATTTGGTGAATTCTAACATTTAAAAGCTTGATCAGGTAAAATAATAATAGAGAGAAGACAATCAAATGCCACAAAGCATCATAAAAAAAGTGTACCCGGTCATTTGGAGCAGCCGTATGTCCATAATGAAGAATAGAACTGCAAAATCAACAGAAAGAGTTATTATAGCATACAAGATATAGTCTAACAAACTCAGAATTTCTGAGTCTTCAATCTTGATAGCAAATGCTAACCGGCCTTCAAGATGACTGAGACTTTGTACACCAATAAAATATCTAGTAATGTCATATAACCTAACTATTTTTAACTAAAAGAGCGCCCCCCTGGTTAACTTATTCATGTAACTCAACAAATTGTACACTATAGTCACCAAGTGGACACAAAAAGAGACCTACTGAAATTTTGTTAGTAATCTTATTCTGGCGTTAAGAAAACTATATACTAAAATGCTATCTGGTAATATCAAAAGCTCATGGTATTTGACTATTTGAAGAAACATTATCAAATGGAAACAGTGGATAACACTACAACAGGCACTAGATGGTGATTTGTTGTTATGATGTTGATACTTGTATCACAATTCCTACATACAGGATTCCACTAAAGCATTAGCAAAACAATTCAGAGACATTAAAGTGTTTGTGCACTGACTTATTATTTGCTTCCGATCAGACATGATACATGAACTCACCTATTCTCTCCGGTAGCGCATATGCATGTGTAGGAGCAATGTCGACAGGCTCCATACCTATAAGAATGATGAAGAAATATGCTTTCTAACTGATATTCCTTCATGCCTGGTTTTGCCTGTCTCATAACCTTAGTCCAAGTTAAGAATCAGATACACATTTAATTCGCCTCTCGAAAAATAACAAAGGAGTTGGTAGTTTTTAACACCTAAAGGAATATTTTTACAAATTACTCCCTCCATCCCATAATATAAGACCGTTTTTGACACTAGTGTAGGATGTGTTTGGTTAGAGGGATAACCACCCAGGGGACAGGGATAGCCATATTTAGAATGGATACCATATGTTTGGTTAATGGGCGAGCTTGGATGAGGCAGGACAGGGATAACCAGATGCTCCGAATATTCCTTAAAAATCCGGCTCCGCAGGCGCGCGAAAATCTCGCGGGCATGGCTAGCCAGGCTCGCGGGCGAAGCGTTTTCGCCCCTGCTCACCTCCAAAAGATCCCCAACCCTATGGTTTCCGTTTGTTCCCTCGAATCTCTCCTTCCCGTGGGTGCCGGCGGCAGCAAATCGAGACGGCCGCAAATTGAAGGTCAGTTCATCGGCCCTCTCTCCTTCCTATCTTTTCTCTCCCGCTCGCAGAGATGCGGCGGCGGCGGGGTGGAGGCAGATGGGTGCGGCTGCAGGGGCGGCCGCTGATGGGTGCGGAGGTGGCGGCGGGGGCGGACGCAGATGGGTGCGGAGGCGGCGGCCGCCGCAGCTGGGCGTGGCACCGGCGGTAGACGAACCTGGGCGCGATGTGGTAGGCAGATGCAGGGCACGGTGCTTGAGCAGCTCGGCGTGCGGGCATTAGATGCAGGGAGACGCGCAGCAGTACAGCGCGGCGGGCGTGGTCCGTGTTGGCCGGTTGCTGGGTTGCGTACGTGCTGGTGGTGGTGTTGACTTGTGTTCTAAGTTGTGTGCTGACCTTTGATCTTATTTTCCTACAGGAGCTGAAAGGGAAAAACAAAGTTAAGTCAGGGGCGACATGTTCTTATACTTACTATTGCATACATCATATTTGATTGCCTCATATTGGAAAATGGGCTAATCTCACCCATCAACCAAACAGAAAAATGGTTATCCCCAACCATGATTCATCCTTCAAACCAAACAAAACATGGGTTAACCTTATCCGTCAACCGAACAGAAAAAATGGCTATTCCTATCCAGCTGGATAGGGATGCCCATATCCACCCTAGCATGTCCCTCTAACCAAACGCATCCGTAGTGTCAAAAACGGTCTTATATTATGGGACGGAGGGAGTAGATTTCTAAAGTGATTCCTGGCATTGTGGGTCTCACTCTTTGCTTATGAGGTGCCAAAACCTGTTGTGACAAGACGACTCAATGCTTAACTTTAGTGCTTTGTCTGGAACCTCGTAAATCATAATATAATATTACAGTGTGTTTGCTTCTTTACTAATTTGGGACATTTATTTCATCCCCAAACGAAAATTCCTAAAGCTCAGCCCATGGCAACAATTAAACCCATCCCTGGTTGAACATAAACTCGTCCCTGCAGGATTATGTGGTGGTAAGAACAATTAATCCCAGTGATAGTACTCAAAAAGCCGAAACCACATTAACTACATGTCTATGCATCTAGTATCTTGAAGGATTATCATGGATGATTGATGAATACATTCATTTGGCTCTCTATACAACCTAGCAGGGGGAAAGATATAGATCACATTTCATCAAATGCTAAAGAGCCAAAACTTGAGCAACCATTATTTAGACAGAACAAGAGTCTAATGTACTCCAAAAAATAGCAATGAAGGTGTAAACAAATTATTGGCATGGTACAAGACTTTAATAGGGTAACTTATATGTACCTCAATGTGTGCTTCTGAGCTAACATCATTGGCATATTGAATGAGGGCAAGCTCCATTTCAGATTTGATAACACGACATTCAGTTAAGATAGGGTGGAGTGTACCCAAATCGGTGTCAAACTTCTCTATCCCCTAACACAGAGGAAAACAACATGGTAAGTTGGTAAATTTAATGCATATACAACAAAGACATGTAGTTGAGGTCTAAAGGAGAAAGGATGGTACTGCATGATTAACATGCCAGATTATGCTTCCCACTTTAACCCTTCAAAACCATAAAACTAACTAACTAAGCATCCTAACTTGTTTTATGGCTAATTGTATATCACATACTTCAAAACTAGCAGGCTTTGAGTAATTTCCGCTGTCAGTACTCTTTCCATACAAGAGAAACAACACAGGCTTTCCATGCTGACTGAATCGATCTTGCAGAACCTGCACAATCTCATCGACATAGAAGACCAAATCGACCTTGTACCTATCCTGTAGAGGTATTAATGAAAAAAATTATGTGAATTCAGTGTATTGCAGTATCTGCGAATATAGCATTTAGAACATCAAATACCTTAAAATAAGGGAGTGGTTTTATTTCACCCATCCAGACAGCATAGTCAGGTGGCAACCTTGGAGCAAACAAAATCGATTGTCCAGAGGCGATGTCCTTGGTGAACAAATAAAGGCCAAGTTAGGTAGAAGCATCTAATGAGCATAAATTCATTATCATAACATGCATTGAATGACTTGCAGTGGTTTATTCTCACAGACAAATAAGTTGTATGAACTCAAGAAATTGTGACATAAACTGTGTTATAAGTTTAATAACTGGATAAAGATGAGGCGTAGTGAATATCCACAATAAGCATCGAACTAGGTATCAAGGAGCTCAATAGGAACTATGCAAGGATTTTAATTTCCTGCAAAAGCGGGACACACGAGAGAAGAACGTACTATAGCGCCATAGAACCCTGGCTCACGCACTCCGAAGAGATAAGCAAAGTAGCTCTCCTGCCTGAGACATTGCCCATTACCACTTCAATATGTCATCCCAAAGAAAGAGAAAGGGAGGGGCGCTGGCAAATATATTTTTTTAAAGACATATACCTAAACAGCTCGAGATGATCAGTGCAGTGTCGTGTCTGCTCCTCACCGCCCTTCAGAAAGAGAAGCCAAAATGTTGATAGAGGAAGCCCCAAAGGCCCAAACAAAGTAGAGACTGATTCATTATGAAGACGGCAAGTGGGACCTGGAGGAGGGCAAGGCCACGGGGAGGGCTAGCGGTGGCGGAGAGGCGGGCACGAAGTGCGGTTAAGAGGCGGTCACGGTTGCCCGCATGCAGCTCCATGGGCACCTCAGGCGGAGCAAGAGAGGAGGTCGCCATTGCTGGATACCTGCCACGCATTGAAAATATGAAAACAACAATCATGTTATGTCATGTGTTGCATACTAGAATAGCATACATACATGCATATACCCACACAAAAGAAAGACATACATACATATAACTAGCAAAATTTTAACGGAAATGCTAGAAATCTGACGTAATAATTTTTAAACCCTTTTTTTTGCCAAATTATGTTGTCGTGAGAATGGCAATTTCCTTTAGCAATTCCTGGCAAAAAAAACTGAACATGACAAGCATTTGCCATTTGCTTAATAAAGGAAGTTGCCATTCTCGCGACAACATAATTTGCCATCTCGGGCGTTCGATTTGCCCTGCTAAAACATCTGAAATTTGTAGCGAAATCCAATTTGAATCCATACATTCATCTGCACATAGTTTAACCCGACATAGTTTGATCAATACAGCACAGAGTGGAGTCATGCTTAAATATTAGTTCACCTTTTGACAGAAATTTCAACCCAATCCATATACCCTTATTATTATGGAATGCTAACCGAGACTGCAGAGAAGGAAAGAGATGAGCGGAAGCAACCTGTCGCGATGCTGGCCGAAGAGCCGCGAGGAGCAGAGGGTTGGGTCGCGGCAGCTTTGCGCTACGATCTCCACGAGATCGGCGGCCTGGGGCCCTCAGCTCGGCAGCGGGCCGCGGTGAGGTTGGGTTGGCGGCTGAGCTAAACTAGGTTCCGCCGTCGCTCTCCATGGGAGGTCGGTGGAGAGGATTTCAGGGGGAAATCGGGTGTATTAGTTGCCTGCTTCCCCCTCTCTCTGCTCTGCTTTATTGCGATCCCGTAGGGTTTCAGCTTCGGTTCGATTGAGTTTGTTCCGTCCCCGCTTGTCCTTCCTATCAGCCGGTCCGACTTTCTAGGGCCGTTGGGTTCGGCTCGGTCGGTGCTTGCCTTGGGCCGGGCGTTCGGTTCCTCGCTCTCAGGTACGCGGCCGGTTCGGTCTGATCTTTTTTTCTTGGCGGCTGCTACAAATCAGCCGACCGATTTTCTCCCAAAATCAGTCGGCTGGCCCATGGTTGGATCTCAAACGTCTACGATCGCACCACCCCAGTACATGTTGACTGCATCGTTCCGCCTAGTCTCATCCCCCGTGCAGCACCCATCGTGGCTCAACCTAGCACCCAACATCCTTCGCTTGTGCGGCCGCGTCGACAGTTCATCGTCTCCCTTTTGCAGCATGCCATCGATGAAGTCGGCCTTGCAACACAGGCGGCTGTTGTGACCACCTCCTTGCAGCGCTGACAAGACCTCTATGGTTGAGCGAGAGCTGCATTACAGCATCCCGCCGATGGCCAGATCCGCGGTTGCAACACCACGAGCAAAAGTTGCATGGCAACATCTGGCGCCGGCGAGGTCCGGGATTGCAGCACCATGGCCAGGGCGTTGAATGGCGACATCCCACCGCCAGCGAGGTCCGGGAATGCTGCACCATGGCCAGGGCATTTGCATGGCAGCATCCGCCGCCGGCAAGGTCCACGATTGCAGCACCACGGCCAGGGCGTTGCATAGCAGCATCCGCCGCCGGTGAGCTCCCTGGTAGTAGCACCACGGCCAGGGCGCTGCATAGCAGCATACGTTGACGGCAAGCTATGCGGTTGCAGCACCATGGCCTAGGCGCTGCATAGCGGCATCCGTCGTCGATGAGCTCCGCGGTTGCAGCACCACGGCCAGGGTGCTACATAGCTGCATCCTTCGTCGACGAGCTCCGCGGTTGCAGCACCACGGCCAGGGCGACGTGCACCAGGCACTCCCTTCCGTGACGCCGATGATACTCTGTAAAACCGATCGAGCAAAAGGCCAGCGCTGGTGCTGCGGGTCGCTGGCTGGTGGATTGCTGTAGGTTGCCGCCAGACACTGCAAGCCATCTGCGGCTGTTCCGATGAGGTCCCTGGCATATATGGGTGAGAAGGATATGAATACGGAGAAGAAAATGATAATCTAGCTCGCGTAGGGGAAGAAAAACGAGCGGCTGTCGTTACGGTTAGAGATAAGGCAATAGCGGTGCGTGGGCCCCCCGGGTGGGCGCGTGGTGCACAAATAACGCGGCTGATTTCTTCTGTAAAATCAGTCGGGTGATTTAGAACGTTTTCCTTCTTTCTTTCTTTTTTTGTTTTGAGGGGAAGGTTTGGTCTCATCAGTGGGCGTTCTACAATTAGGCATCACTCTTATCAAAACTCTTCTCTCTGGATCATTCATTGCAGGCAAGTGCGTCTATTACTCATATGCAACAAATGCAGCAACAATGGAAGCTCTAGCCATGAGGGATGGACTACATTTTGCAACTTCTATTGGAACTAATAAGGTGTAGGCGGAATTTGATTCGATACAAGTCATAATTTTTTGCAAAGGTCAAATACAATGGTGGGACTCGATAGCAGTAGATACATTGTAATGAACCCGGAAGGAGGGGATCGGGAGAGAGGAGAGAGGAGGGCGAGAGGAGCAGGTAGCTGACTTGGAGAGGAAGAAGGTAGGTGCGATTTCAAATGAAAGTTCAGGTACAAAAGAGAGTTCCAACACGCATGCCTCACTCACGGCCACAGGCGGCCCTTTTAACCACACCACACAGGCCAGTTGTCACGCCAGCTGGTTGGTCCCACTTGACAGCTCTAAGTCACACTAATCAGGAGGTTAGGTGTGACATTTCTCCCTCCTTAAGGTGCTTCCTCTTCTTCCTCTGACCAAAGTGCGGTGGTCAGAAAACGCTGGCGAAGGATGGTGTAATCTTCCCAAGTCTCCGTAGCTGAACTGTCTGTGCCCCACTGGACCTTGATCTGCACCACTAGCGCGTCGCCGTGCTTCATCATGCGTCGGTCAAGGATGCGCGTGGGCGTGATGGAGTCGAGGGAGAGGTTTGGCACCTTAGGTAGCTCCCCGTACACCGATGTGAAGTCTGGGGTGAACGGCTTCAACTGGGAGACGTGGAAGACGGGGTGGACCCGGCTCTCCGGTAGCAGGTCAGGCTTGTAGGCGAGTGGTCAGTTTTCTCCATGATCATGTAAGGCCCGAAGTACTTGAATGCGAGCTGGGCGCACGGACGATTGACCACCTATGGACGTGGGGTTGGATATTGAGGAGTACTGGTTCTCCCTCTTGGAAATGGCGCTCGGTGCGGTTGTGGTCGGCGTTCTTCTTGAACCTTCGTTGCGCTCGCTCCATCTGGGCGCGGATGTGGGCGGTGTGCGCGTCCAAGTCCATCTCTTCGTCATCTGGTGTCGTGTTCGTCCAGGCCGCCATGGCCCCGAGGTTGGCTTCCTTGCCGTAGAGAGCGTTGAATGGTGTGCAATTCAGAGAAGAGTGAAAGGTAGAGTTGTGAAGGAAATATGCCCTAGAGGCAATAATAAAATTATTGTTTATTTCCTTATATCATGATAAATGTTTATTATTCATGCTAGAATTGTATTAATCAGAAACATAATACATGTGTGAATATATAGACAAACATAGTGTCACTAGTATGCCTCTACTTGACTAGCTCGTTAATCAAAGATGGTTAAGTTTCCTAACCATAGACATGAGTTGTCATTTGATAAACGGGATCGCATCATTAGGAGAATGATGTGATTGACTTGACCCATTCTGTTAGCTTAGCACACGATCGTTTAGTATTCTGCTATTGCTTTCTTCATGACTTATACATGTTCCTATGACTATGAGATTATGCAACTCCCCTTTACCGGAGGAACACTTTGTGTGCTACCAAACGTCACAACGTAACTGGGTGATTATAAAGGTGCTCTACAGGTGTCTCCGAAGGTACTTGTTGGGTTGGCGTATTTCGAGATTAGGATTTTCACTCCGATTGTCGGAGAGGTATCTCTGGGCCCACTCGGTAATGCACATCACTTAAGCCTTGCAAGCATTGCAACTAATGAGTTAGTTGCGGGATGATGTATTACGGAACGAGTAAAGAGACTTGCCGGTAACGAGATTGAACTAGGTATTGAGATACCGACGATCGAATCTCGGGCAAGTAATATACCGATGACAAAGGGAACAATGCATGTTGTTATGCGGTCTGACCGATAAAGATCTTTGTAGAATATGTGGGAGCCAATATGAGCATCCAGGTTCCGCTATTGGTTATTGACTGGAGACGTGTCTCGGTCATGTCTACATAGTTCTCGAACCCGTAGGGTCCGCACGCTTAAAGTTTCAATGACAGTTATATTATGAGTTTATGAGTTTTGATGTACCGAAGGAGTTCGGAGTCCCGGATGAGATCGGGGACATGACGAGGAGTCTCGAAATGGTCGAGGCGTAAAGATCGATATATTGGACGACTATATTCGGACATCGGAAAGGTTCCGAGTGATTCGGATATTTTCGGGGGTACCGGGGAGTTACGGGAATTCGTAATGGGCCTTAATGAGCCATACGGGAAAGGAGAGAAAGGCCTCAAAGGGTGGCCGCACCCCTCCCCATGGACTGGTCCGAATTGGACTAGGGAGGGGGGCGCCCCTTCCTTCCTTCTCCTTTTTCCTTCCCTTCTCCTACTGCAACAAGGAAAGGAGGAATCCTACTCCCGGTGGGAGTAGGACTCCCCCCTTGGCACGCCCTCCTTGGTCGGCCGCCTCTCCCCCTTGCTCCTTTATATAAGGGGGCAGGGGGCATCTCTAGACACAACAATTGATCTCTTGATCTCTTAGCCGTGTGCGGTGCCCCCCTCCACCATAGTCCACCTCGATAATATCGTAGCGGTGCTTAGGCGAAGCCCTGCGTCGGTATAACATCATCATCGTCACCTGTAGGATCGAAAGTATGTCTAGAGGAGGGTGATTAGACTACTTGACCAAATAAAAACCTAGCCTTTTCCCAACTTTAGTTCTTGGCAGATTTTAGCTATCTTAGCACAAGTCAAGCAATCTTCACACAATTCAAGCAAGCATGCAAAAGAGTATATGAGCAGCAGAAAGTAAAGCATGCAACTTGCAAGAATGTAAAGGGAAGGGTTTGGAGGATTCAAACGCA